ACTCGATTGCTTTGGCATGAAGCTTGGGCTTCCTGTAGTTTAAAAGCTCCTCCAGGTGATGCTTATGTTCGGCTGGTGCCAGGAAACCACTGGGATAGATGATAGACACACTAGTGGCAGCAAGTGGGTGAAGAAGTGTCTCAAGAGGAAACAGCAGGCACTGACAGGGTCTGCCCCAGGCCTCCCTGACAGCTCTTAGCAGGACTCCAAAAGCTATTACTCCTGATGTATATCACATACTGCTAGATATTGGGTCTTTCTACCAAGAAAATTCAGCCTTGGTTATCACAAAGTGCTCAGCTTGTCACATGAAAAAGTTACTAACCTAGTGTATTAGGACAAATTCTAGACATTGCTTTCCCAAGTAAGTGTGGGCATGAATGCTGTCAATTAATCCTTGCTTTTTTAACCATCCAATATTATGTATGTGACTGTTACTGGCAATATGCAAAACTGGACTCTCTTTGACAACTGTTGAGTTGAAGAAAGCTAGCGAAGAGCTTTCACAGTGGTTTGCACTTGGGTTAGTCTGGGTGAGAGGATGTGGAAAAAACATAAGCTTTTGTACCCATAGCCACAGGACTGATCTTTCTCAGAGTCTGTTAGAAAGACTCAGGAACTGCAATTGTAATTTATGACTGCACCAGTGAAATATTTGTCTGGTGGTGAAGGAGAAACTTGATAATTAGTATTTTGACTAATGTGTGAATCAATGACAAGCTATTTTGACTACTGTCAATTCAGAAATGGGAAATGTTTTATCAGTGGCTACAGGTAACACTCAGCAAAGAACTAGTAGATGACATCCACTAATGATGCTTGGATTTGAACTAAGTTAGCTTTTCAGATCACCAACAGATTTCTCAGGATTTCTTATGGATAAGATTATGAATTCAATAGTTACACAAGAAAACTCTGCAACATTTACCACAAAGGAGAAGGGATTCCTCTGTGAACTCATTGTGCAGTGGTATTTTTAGAACTTAACTCCATTTTTAGAACTTGTACACTAAAGACAGAGCCCCTTGCTGGATTTTGCTCAGGTGGCCTGAATCTAAATTTAATTGGAAACAGCAGCTTTCAGCTGTGGTATCATCTGAAGAGCTTTCAAAAGGCCCAGGCTGCATCCCAGACTGAATAATTCAACACCTCTGGGGGTGGAGTCCAGATGTCAATAACTTGTCACATTCTCCAGGAGATGCAACGTGCAGCCAGGGTGTTAAGCTTTGGATCTGAGGTGTCCTCCAAAAGTTCATGTGTGAGAAATGTGAGAGGATTTAGAGGGGAAAGGATTGGGTTGTGAAAGCCTTAACCAAATCAGTGAATTAATCACCTGATGGGATTAATTGAGGGGTAATTAAGGCAGGTAGGATATGGCTGGAGGAGGTAAAGCACTGGGGTCATAGCTTTGGGGTATATATTTTGTATCTGGCAAGTGGAGCTCTCTCTCTCTCTCTCTCCCTTTCTCTGCTGCCTGATCGTCATGTGAATTGCTTCCTTCTGCCACACTCTTCCACCATGATGTACTGCCTCACCTTGAGCCCTGAGAAACAGAGCCCTGAGAAACAGTGGATTGAGACCTCTGAAACTGTGAGCCCCCTAAATAAACTTTTCCTCCTCTATAGTTGTTCTCATTGGGTCCTTTCATCATAGTGGCGAAGAAGCTGGCTGAAACACAGTTAAGCTATACTGACTTACAGCCCCCTGTGGAGTACTCAATATCTTTACTGCTCTAGTTTTACTCATGAGGTTACAAGATAAATGTAGAAACTTCAAGGAACTCTTTAAGAAAATCTATATGAAAAAAAAATCATAATGCAGTTGTCTATGTATAACGATACTACTATATTAACAGTAGAAGTAATAGTCAAAAGCAGCAAAAATAATAACTAGCATTATAGATTATTTTATTCATGATAAAAAATAAGAAGTAGGTATTCTTATTATCCTCTGTTTAATAAATGAAAAAACTGAATTGGAGGCTACAGGATTCTATGGTAAGGCTCAAAGAAGTCTCTCTACCATATTCCTTTTTAAAATCCTACATCAGAAAAGGGCAGAAGAAGACAAGACCAGAAAGGCTGCCCTTCCGCAGAGATTCAAAAGAACAAGTCAGATTTACCAACAGAAGAGATTTAGAGAGATTTGGTGGGTCAGTGCCTTCTTTTCTCACTCAGAAAATTTTAATCCAAAGTTTAGACTTTAGATTTTTGCAGGCATTCACACCTCCTCTGTAGAATAGAAAAAAAATTGAAGCTATTTAAAAAATTTTAAACAAAGAAACTACTAAGTAAATAAACAAAATGCTCCTTTACTAAATATCATTGAAGTTAGACTTACAATGAGGTAAACTTCATAAAACTTGAGAAAAATAAGAAAAGTTTCTAAATCACAAGATTAAAAATCAACAACTAAACAACAGCTCCAGAAGCAGGTGTGGGGTTATAGTTCCATAATCTTTTAGTATTCAGAATGCCAGCTGGTAAAGGGGAGTCCTTGAGGGACTAAGACTTCTAGCATATGTCTTATCATCAGATCTGTAGCAGATGGAGGCAGGGTGCTCTCCAATCCTCTCTTACCATACCTTGTGTGGGAGTGGAAGCCCAGGTTATGGGAAGGAACGGGAGGGAAGGGTTCTTAGTGTACTTTATTTCTACATTGAAGGAAAAAAAATCCTCTACCTTTTATTAAGGAGAAGAAAGAAGAAAGAAATTGCAAGTGAGAAGCATGATTTTGTACACATGAGATATAATGGGCTCTGGAAGTTGAAGGGGGTAGTAAAACAAAAATTTTTGATTGGAAACATTTTTACTTATATTTATTCTCTGTCATATTTGTTTCAGAACAGCTAGAATACTGTAAGGAAGGAATAGAAAATAGACCAGTTTATGAAACTTGGAAGTTATGGGCCAGAAAATCTCAGTGCAAAGCATTTTTTTAAAATATTGCTCTCAAGAACTCTTGAAGAGTCAGAGCCAAAAGAATTATTATTTTTAGCATCTATTTTCTTTATGTCTGGGTATAAAATTTGGGTTGATTTTTGTCACTTATGTATTACTTCAAAAACACTGGCTAATGTTATGAGAGGTGGAGAACAGACACCCATCAAATTCACAAGGATGTCTTTTTTTTTTTTCTGTTTGCAAAATATAAAAGAAAGTTCTGATAAAACCTAATCTTCAGAGGATGGGAATGTGTAGTCTGTTAAACATTTTAACATGGAACTTTACAATCTCTACCTTTTATTTCTCCTTTTATTCCAGGCTTTCCCCACTCAATTGAAGAAGGAATTGGCCAGAGGCCAGAGGACATCAGCAAAGAATGATTAGCTACCAGGGAAACCCTCTTATTTCTCACTTAAAGGAACTTGCCCAGAAAGAGAAGCATCTACTCAGAAATTACCCTTTCTCCAGGAGAAATAATTTCTTCTTCTTGTTTACCTCAAATGATAATGGAACAAGTGAAAAATCTCTCAAACTTATTGAGAAATAATTTTTCCAAAAGCAATTGGTTATATCCTTTTTAATAATCAACTCAGCTCATTCATATAGCATTCATATTTATTGAATGTTGTGTTTTCCATGGTGCATTTAAGCCAAGGGATGGAGGTGCCTAGTCCTGCTGAGAAGCTACTCATGATTCTAACATGACTCAGGTTAAATTTGACTTTAGTTAATGGTTAAGTTTGATCTTGTCAGATTTCAATATCAAATGTGTTGCTGGTGATGCAAAAGTAATGCCTGATCTATTTGGACATTCAAACTTTAATTACATTTGGTTGTTCACAAGTTATTTGGCATGCCACTTGGAAAGAAGATGGACTGTCCACGGAATACTGTGGAACCAAAACACCTAGACACGTACTTACGCCCTGCAATACTTCCAACCTAGCCTGTGCCACTAGCCACTCATGCCCTCTCACCTATGGGGCATGTTCACTTTGGAAATGAAAACTTGTCTTTAATATGAGTCAACCTAAGGAAGCATCATATATCAGATCATTTTTTTTAAGGATTAAAGTACCATCATGTCAGGGGCAAATATACTTCCAAAATTATGTAATATGGCCCCAAACCAAATATAAATATTTTTCATTCAATGTTTCAGATTATCTTTGTAAATATCTCCTTTATCAGAGTGAATCAAGAGTTAACTGTCAAATGCCTAAGAAGATTGCTTAAATTATTCTTATTTAGGGGATAAGGACATACTTTTCTCTGGAACTAATGTAAAAATCCTAAAAAATACAATTCTTAAGAACTCTGATTCCATAGAAAGCCCTATGTCATTTATGAATGTCAGGCTTCCATCTGTGCTGGAGAAAAATAATGCTCTGTACAACAGGTACTGGGACTGAGTATTCTGAAGGAGCATCATTTTGCCATCAGTCTGATTATAATATAAAATATTTCCTCCAACACCTTAAAACTGCAAACATGATCACAATTAAGTAGTTCTGATGTACAGAAAATTCAAGTATATTTCCAAATGTACAGTTTAGAGTAATCATTTCACATCAATGGTTTTACATAAGTTAATTTAGGTGATTCAACCCACACAAATATGGCATACACATAAGTAAATATTAATCACTGATGTATGTGGCTTTTGGTATAGGTGGCTTTTGGAAATAATCAGCATTTCATTGCTTTTGAAACATTCCTATATCTACCCCCACTAAAAAAAAAAAAACTTTCCTGAAAATAAAATAAGGATTCTGTCCATGTATTTTTTAAAAAAATCAAGTGTCACTTAAAAGCATTACATAGACAAATAATTAAGAGAGCAAATAGTCCTAAAAGACTTACAATAAAAAAATAATAGTCTCTTCTTGTTTCTTGCCTCATCTTTCTCCATCCCCCATAAATAGTAACCCCTTCTAACTCTTTGAATTGCTCTTTCTGGTATTAGT